ATTTTTTTTGACGTGACAACGTCTTAAATTAGGTTGCGGCTGGGAGTCACTTATGAAAAAGTGTAACGCTCGGTAACGTTACGATGAGTCACCGAACGAGAGAGAGGCCCGCCGAATGCCTTGCGTCTCTCTCCCACTCAACTATGATCGGTCTGCCGCGCGCGCAGCACTAGTTCATTCAATTCCTTGTTCCTATTGTGCAATTTAATTATATTCATATCAATAAATATTCTACCGAGAAAAAGACGTTGTCACGTAAAATCTTCGCCCGTAAAAACGACTTTACAGGCAACCATTTTTTTTAAAACCCAGTAAACTTTCCCCGACCTGCGAATCGAACCCGAGACCCCTTGACCGGCGACTACTCAGCCAACGAGGAAAAACTATTATTGGATACGTTTTTCAAAAATGTCTACACATCAACGGCTGGTGTGGGTCACTGCTGACCAAAGGCCTCTTCTTGAAGAAGGTTTGAGCATTAACCTCTTGTCTGTCAATATATATTATGAGACAAAATAGAAACTTAGAAACCAAATTGTGTCTCGCATAGATCTGCGTTCCGATACTACGGATTAATAACCACGGTTGCTCAATCAACAGCCTATAAGTGCCCACTGCTGACCAAAGCCCTCTTCTCCCATGGAGAAGGTTTGAGCATTAACCATCACGCTTGCTCAATGCGGGTTGGCGATATCAAACTCATAATTAGGAATTATAAGCCCAGGTTTCCTCACGATGTTTTCCTTCACCGTTTGTCAGCGGTGTCTGAATAATCTTAGAAAGTTCATGTAACTCTGATAAAGTCACATTGGTACTCGCATTTACTAGGATTTGAAAACGAAAATTTAGGTATAAGGAGTCTAGAATTCGGGCTGTTTCATGGCAATTATAGATTCACCCCCTATTACATGGGACTCATAATATAAATGGTGAAAAGTGGGTGTTACATTTGAATGCATCTTTGGCGATTAAAATTCGTCTATACAATCGATTTGCCTTAGGGGCCTTGTTGTGTACGGACGTGTGCCGGTCGTTCTGATATAATATTTGCTTGCTTTATTTTAATTGGCCGTGGACGTGATTTTTGATTCCTTGTCGCACTTACCAGGGTCATATCGGTAGTTCACACCTACTGGGCGGTCTTGGAAAGGGACAAAGTAAATTGTGTCAATTTGCGCTTAAATAAAGTTCCGAAAAGTGATTGTCATTGGCTGGTTTCGAACCACCGCCGCCTCGCGTCGGTGCAGCAGAGCCGTGCGCCCCGCCACTGCGCCACGGTGCATGTGCTGACCGACTCGAAACAAGTATCCTGCTGCTACGTGCGGGTGCTACGAGGTACTACGTGTGCTACGAGGTGCTACGACGGCTACGAGTCGCCTACGTTAAACTGCATCGGCCCACTGTTGACTCGCTACGGGTATCTCGCCGCTGCTAACAAATACTAACTGTTTTGTTATTGTGCATTGGGCACTATGGCCAATCTGCAACGCACCCCTCCTAAAACGGCAAGAACACCGACTAAAAACCTGACCCAAACTGTGTCTGAGTCAGACATAAATTCGGCAGTTATGATGAGTGATTTTGTAAACACCAGAAGTAAACGTCCACGCCATGAAGACTCGCCTCAAGATGCTACAGAGATAGGCACGGAAGCATTGCACAGGGTGATCGCGCAGCAGACGGAAATGATGTCTAAGTTGGTGTCTGATGTTCGAGAAATTAAATGTCAGAATGCACAAATACAGTCCACAAATGCAGCAATATGCAAATCAAATGATGATATTGTGAAGTCTATGGATTTTATGAATATAAAGTTCGAGGAGCTGAAGAAGGAAATTGAGACCTTGAGGAAGGAGAAACAGGAACAGAGACAATATATTGAAAAATTGGAGAAAAAGATACAGGATATACAACATAAGTCACGGCCATCAGGAATTGAAATTCGTAATATTCCACTGTCGGAAAATGAGAAAAGCGCGGACTTAGTGAAAGCAGTATGCGACATTGGCGAAGCTGTTGGACTACACATATCCGAGTCAGAATTACGTGACATTTATCGATTGCCCGGTAAATCTTCAAATGGATCCGACAATCCACGTCCTATAATTGCAGAATTCAACTCTGTTCAAAAAAAACAAACACTTCTAACTGCAGTCCGCACCTATAATAACGATAAAGGTAAGGAGAATAAACTCAACACTGCAGCTATTGGCCTCGCGGGAACACGCCAACCAGTGTACATAGTTGAACATATCCCTCCCAACACAAAAATACTGTTTTATCGGGCCAGGGAGTTTGCCAAGGCGAACGATTTTAAATACTGCTGGATCTCAAATGGGAATATTTTCTTGAGGAAATCAGAAGGCGATAAGCGACAAATTATCAACTCAGAGAAATGTCTGAATTATATAAACAAGTGACTATTAGTACACAAATACAAATTGCTCCTATTTTTTACAAAACATCTGTTATGCATTTATATTAAGTTAACCTTTAAATGGATCTATATTACGACACTTGATCAACTACCATATTCCAACTATATAACAATTGTCGATAATCGTATTAATGTAATAAGTTTAGTTATAAGACTATCCTTAGAAAGTCATCACCCATACACTCACACTCACAACCACAAACATATATCACCTACACTAAAAACTTACACAGCACATACCTGGCCGACGTGTATAAACAACTCGTATAGGCTACCTTCTGTAAAATATTTAAAAACAAATGGCTAATAATAATCAAGTAACTTCCGATTTAGACTCAATTCGTGTATCATCTTCATACTGCAGTCCACCTGAAATGTGTATTGATTATCTGAATAGCAACTTCAAACGAACGCTAAAGGTTATTCATATGAATATACGAAGTATATACAAAAACTTCTGTGAATTCGAAATTTTATTGGCGCGGTTAAATATTAATTACGATATAATCTTGCTCTCGGAGTGCTGGCTAAAACGAGATTATCCCATACCTGTCCTGAAGGGTTACACATCATTCTCGACAAGCCTGATCCATAACCAAAATGACGGACTAGTACTTTACGTTAATAGTAACATCCAGTGTTGCGTCTCTGAGCCGAACGTAGCTGATTCGAATTGCCTTATTTGTAAACTGAATCCTGATACAGTTTTTGTTGGAATATACAGGTCACCTTCTCAAAGACAAATTGATAATTTTATAAATAATCTTGATAACGTCCTCGTCTCTCTAAAACACTATACAACAATTATCGTTGCGGGGGACTTAAACATAGATATTAAGCCTAACAACAACCATCGACAATCAAATGAATATTTAACCGTTACTGCTACCCACTGTCTATTACCTGCACACGTCTTCCCTACAAGATTGGATAACTGTCTGGACCATGTTCTTCTCAAAACTATTTATAAAGCAACAACTATAGTTATTGAAGCGTGTGTAACGGACCACTATCCTGTTATGAGTTGTATCTATCTTTCTAAAACTGTACTCAGTAAGCCAAATCCTGTGTCCACTTTTATAGATTTTTTAGCAATCGACAATGTAATTAAAAATACCGATTTCAGTAATGTTTTATCATGTCCGGACCCTAATCAAGCCTGTAATACCTTTATATCTATCCTATCACCTATTATTAAACACCATACCCTATGTAAATCAGTCTCTGCTAAACGTCGTATTCTGAAACCATGGATTACTGAAGGTATATTGCGATGTATTCGAAATCGCGATCGTATGCATAGCAAACTTCGTAAATCACCGGATAATATTATACTAAAAATTACGTATAGTCGTTATCGAAATTTTTGTAATCAATTACTACGGAAGTTAAAAATAGGCTACGAAAAAATGGAATTTTTAAAAAATAAAAATAATATGAAAGGCACCTGGGAAACAATACGTAGGATTACTAACACTCAATGCGTTAAAACTCCACCGATAGAATTGCTTAAAGTATCTGACAATCCTGACAGCTCTGTAAATCAAGTGAACTCTTTCTTCTCTAACATTGGTCGTGACCTGGCACTTAAAATAACATCTGTAAGTAGGAATCTAAATAAGCCTAAATTTGAAATGCGAAAAGGCTCTGTAGTGCCTAACTCCCTAGTCTTGCTAGAAGTTACCGAAAGTGAAGTGGAAAATATTGTAAACAATCTAAAAAGTGACTGTGCTGTGGGCTGGGACTCCATCCCACCCAAAATTCTCAAATCGTCACGATCCACCTTGGTGCCAATCATCACACATATCTGTAATTCTGCTATAAATTCCGGTACTTTTCCGGCGGCGCTCAAAAAAGCAGTTGTTACTCCCGTGTATAAGAGTGGGGACAGGGACTGTGTTGGTAATTATAGGCCTATCTCGGTATTAACAACTCTATCCAAAATTCTTGAACGTATTCTTAACAACAGTTTGGTAAAGTTTCTACAATCACATAACATTATTGCAAGTAACCAATTTGGATTTCGTGCGAATATATCAACGGATGATGCACTAATTGCACTGACCGAATCGGTTTCAAGGAGTCTTGATGAAAATAGAAAGTGCATAGGCGTATTTCTAGATTTATCTAAGGCTTTTGACACGGTCTCAGTCCCCATTCTTGTATCGCGACTAGAAGAAGTGGGGGTGAGAGGCATCGCCCTGGAAATTTTTAAGGACTACCTTAGGGGTCGCACCCAGCAAGTTAAAATAGGTAGTTACATAAGTGGAGAGGAGACACTGCAGTTTGGGGTTCCGCAGGGTAGTATTTTAGGACCAACGCTCTTCCAGATTTATGTAAATAATTTGTGCCGGCTAAAGATGGAACACTGTGAAATATTTACTTATGCGGATGACACTGCCTTAATAATATCAGGTGTAGATTGGTCCGAAGCAAAAGTAGTCGCAGAGACAAGTTTAAGAACTGTGATGCTTTGGTTGCAGGACAGTCTATTAACTTTAAACGTAGACAAAACCAAATTCGTCACTTTTGCAAATAAAATCTCTCAAATGCCACCCTTGACTTACTGTCTTGCGGCACACACGTGCACGCAGAGCCCAACCATTAAAAATGGAAATTGTGACTGTGCAGTTATCCAAAGAACAACAGATATTAAATACCTAGGCGTTGAAATAGATTCACAGCTAAAGTGGCACACACATATTCAAAAACTAACAGCTCGGTTAAGAAAGCTTATTTACATTTTCAAAAAACTTCGATCATCAACAGACGAAGATACTCTCAAATTGATTTACTTTTCATTATGCCAATCGCTCCTGTCTTACTGTGTGACAGCCTGGGGTGGTGCGGGCAAAGTCGCAGTCTTGGATCTGGAGAGAGCACAGAGGGCTGTTCTCAGAGTAATGGCCTCGAAGCCTTTTAGGTATCCTACAAACGAACTGTATAAAGAATGTCGAGTACTCACGGTGAGACAGCTCTATGTTCTCTGCACCATCATGAGGAAACATAGTTCGCTGCCATATGATCCAAAATGGTCCCAGAAAAATAGAAAAACCAAACCAATTTGTGAACCAATTCCACACAGAACGGCCTCAGCCGGCCGTCAATATACTGTAATGAGCTCACGTCTTTATAACAAAGCACACAAAATCAATCACATCTATTCCTTAACACGCAGGCAAGCAAAATCGAAAATCACATGTTGGCTTCAGACACTAACCTATGATGAAACAGAACAATTGTTAAACAAACTAGTCTAAATAATTAAATACTCACGCGTAAAGTTAGTACATAGATAGCAAACATATACATACATACACACTCTCACACACACCTTCACATACACTAACACACACACCCACATACATCATCCTTAATTATCTCTTTTGGTAATACTCACTTTCTTTTTCTCTTTTTATATCTTTATGTCACTTAACACAATATTTGAGAGAATAATTAGCAATATAAGCATTCATAATTTTGTAATACTCAACGAGGGAACACTGACCCCCAAAATACAGGATCACCTAGTTTGGGAGGCAGCGATTTCATAAATTGTAAGCTGTAATTGTATGCCTATACCTAAAATCAAATATTGTAACTCGCTTGTTTTTAGTAAATAAAGATTTTATTATTATTATTATTATTATTATTATACACATTTTTGATGACCAACGCCGCTGAAAATAAAGCGGACATAACGATACTTAGAAATGATTGAAGCCCCCAAATGTCTGTGGGTTATTTATGTGTGCGTGTGTAATGGGCTTCCACGTCACCAGACTTAATTAAATGACAGATGTCCTTCGTATCAATGTGTATATGTTCTGCGTGTAAATCTATAGTAGCTACGTGCCACAGTCGTTGTTTCAAGAGACTGTGTCCGCCATTATTTCAACGTCATTGTACATTCATGTAATTTTTTTTTTGTTGATTTCGGCTACATGGCAATCTGTTCTTCAACTAAGCCACTTCTTTGTCTGATTTCTCAGTTTATGTTTTCTTCAAGAGCCATATTTGTATGAAAATTCCTTTCACACGACTCTCTTGTCGTCAAGTGGTAAATCTTTTATGTAGGCTCGGTATGTCACAAAAAGGTAAATAAGAAAAATAGTTTTATATTAAACAATAATTTATTTGTCAATTTGTCAAAACACACTGCTACATAGGTGATTATCCAGAGGCACTTTTAAAGCAATCAAACATTCATAATAATATGTATAAAAAACAAAGTAACATAATTTCTAACTAGAGAACGGCTGGACCGATTTCGACGATAATTAACATTGTGTGTGAGAGCTATGCTTCGGCACGAATGGGCCGACTCGACCGGAGTGATACCACGGCCGAGCAGAAAACCGACGTGAAGCAACGCTTGCGTTGTGTTTCGTCGTGTGAGTGAGGTTATCGGAGACCCAATTACCCTCCCCCGTCGCGGAGAACCTAAAGGGTAACCGGGGCTCCGGCTCGACGTGCAGGAGAAGGAACGGGGTGGTTTTTAGTCAGTAAGAGTCTGACACTCCCTCCCGTCTCACCCAGGCGGGAGCAGTCATGATTTTCCCACCTTAAAAAAAAATACCACACCCAGTCTTCCCTCCCCAATGCCCGAATACCCCAAAATTCTCAAATTCTCATCGGTGTTCCAGGTGTCCACGGGCGACGCCGATTGCATATTATCATCATAAAAAATAATCGTACTTCATAAAAACAGTTACTATCTAAGAGCACGCTATGAATCAGGAACAGAACAGATGTATAAAATCGGTGTAGAATTCGTATCACAATATTATTTTAGAAATTAATTTCATTTAATAAATAGACATTTCACATTCTTCAAAATCGTGTTTCGTTCTTTACTTCTTTGTCCTTCTTCCTGCAAAAGAAAGTTTAAATCAGTTTCATAGAAGTACATTTTAAGTCCCTCGCCGGTCGAGTCAAGGTTCAAATGAGACTGCCAAGCAAGTGGTCTTGTGGTTCGATTTA